TAGAAGATGTAGTCTTAATGGAGAAGGCATGTCATGGGGGTGGGCTTGAGGTTTCAAAAGCCTGTATCATTCTCAGCTCTCTCTGCCTTGCACTTGTGGATTGAGACGTAAGCTCTCAGTTTCGGCGTCAGCACCATCCTTGCCTGTTTGTTGCTGTGTTCCCCACCATGATGGCCATGGAATCTAACCCCATGAGACTGGAAGACCAGTAAACACGTCCTTTTATAAGTTGCCTTGGTCATGGCGTTTTATCAAAGCATTAGGACAGTAACTAAGATAGCCTGCATATATGTATTACATCATGCATGTATGCCTGGTGGCTACGGAGGCCAGAAGAGGGTGTCCAATCCTCTGGAACTGGAATTATGGATAGTTGTGAGCCTCCAAGTGAGTGCTGGGACCCAAACGATGATCCCCTGCAAGGGCAACCAGGGCTCTTGATTACTGAACCGTCTTCCTAGTCCCTAATGTCAAATCTTACTCTATTTTCTTTCCCACAGCTGGAAAGGAGGGGGGCCCTGGTTGTGGAATTTGAGGCTCCCCTTGTCACAGGCTTAAAGCTGCCAGTCCAGCAACGGAGAGTGGTATTTCCAGAAGATGTCATTCAGTTCTCACCATCTGTGCCACATTCACTGCAACCTGGTGACAAGGTGCTGGCACCCTGGGAACCAGAGCAACAGCAGTATGGCCCCGGCACTGTTCTCTTGGGCTTGAAGAAACAAAAGGGCCAGAAAGGTAAGGAAGCTGTTGTGCCCCTATACCCCCAGAGGAGCACTGCTGGTGGCCATGGCTCTGCAGTGTTAAAGTCACAGCAGAGAACCCTCGCACCTTACCCAGTGGCCTTACCCTGCAGGGGCAGCAGACCTGGTCCTATCTTCTGGGGTATGTTATATTTAGTATCACGGAGGACAGAAGGTGGTGGCTTGTGTCTGCAATGTTAGCACTTAGGAAACTGAGCCAGGAGCATTGCTCTAAGTTTGAAGGCAGCCTAGGCTACAGATAAGAGTGTCTCAAAAAAACCAAAAAGTGGGGGCTGGAGAGATAGCTCAGTAGTAATAGCAAAGAACCCAGATTCAGTTCTCAACACCTACATGGAAGCTCACATCCTTCTGTAATTCCAATTCCAGGGGACCCAATACCCTCTTCTGGCCTCCCTGGGCACCACGTTAGAATGTGGCACACATACACACACCCAGGTAACACTTAAACATATAAAAACACACAGAATAAAAATTAATAAAGATATTCATAAAACAAAGCAAATAACAAAAAAACCCAAAAGGCATAAAATCAAACCAAGAGAAACCACCTAGAACTACCATGTCTATGCTGATTACCTAAACCAGCGCATGTGCTGGGTGTGATGTCATAGCACCGAGAATTCCAGCACTCCGTGGGCTGAAATGGGAATCATGGAGCTAAAGGCAGCGTGGGCTACATGAGACCTATCTCAAAAACTCAAACCGACGAACCCAACAAAAACATCATGTGTGGTGGTGGCAGGGAAAGTATTCTAGTCACGGGGACTCACTTCCCATCACTCACCAGGTCCTCCAGGGACTGACATGCCTCTTGTCATGCCTCAGTACAGCTGCTCTTCAGAGAATCATAAAAACCTTTGCTGAGGCTGTGCTTTGGTTCTGCATGAAAACTAGGTCCCTCCAGGCCATCTGCAGCCTAGGAGGCAGGGAGGTGCCAGGAAGTCCTCCAGAACTGGTGGTTGGTGTGGTATGGGAGAGGGGACATTCCCAAAGGCTCTCTGGGTACAGTAGCACATGAAGAGCCAAGAAGAACAGGAGGTGGGGCTGAGGCTTTGGGCTTTATTCCAAAGAACCAGGAATCAAAAAAAAAAAATGTCTCCCATTTCTGTTCATAGCATCTAAAGAAGAAATCACTGTTCACTTCTGGAATGGCAAGACAACTAAGGTGCCTCTGGACAGGGTCAGGTGGGTGCCCCCCACTGTCTGGAAGAAGGCTGTGGAGAGACTACAAACACTTCACACCCGGGGCTGCCACGGTCCTTTCCTGTGGGCACCTCACTGTTCTCAGCTGGGACCTAACGCTAGATGCACCACACACAGATCTCTGGACTCCTCGTGTCCTCCCTGCCTCTCTCGTGCCCGCTGCCAGCCTCTGTATCAGAGCTGTGTCTGTGACTGCCCTTTGGTGAGGCCTAGCTGGTGGCCTCTAACGAGGACCTCAGAGGTCACAACAAGAAAACTCCCAGAGTCCGAGCTGAAGCCCACAGCTCAGCTTCTGCCCCTACAAGGTCCTAAAGAAGAGGCGATAGCAGCGTTCAGCTGCAATATGTCCTCCTCCTCCGAGGAAGAGAATTCAGAGAGTCATCTGGAGACGGGACTTCCGCAGAGACAGATGGTAAACAGAGGAGTCAACACTGACCCCATCGCTTCTGAGAAGCCTCTGCAGCAGTGTGGCCCCAGCCAGCCCGAGTGGAGATACTGGAGGAGAAACGGGCCCGAGCTGCCCCCTGGAAAACGGGGTATGGTATGCCAGGGGTTTGACGCTAGCTTCCCAGACGGGCTAGGGGCTGCAAGGGTCTCTTGAAATCTGGAACACTCTGGTGGGCTTGGAAATAATGTATGGAATGCAGGCTGTCGGGGAGACTGTCGGGTCAGGGAAGAGGTAGCTTCCACATGAACAGGAGAGGACAGATGGTTTGATCTTTGTGCTCTGATTGGTAACTCTATTTAACACCCTCCTCTTCTTTGAGACAGGGTCTCATGTAGCCCAAGCTGCCATTAAATTTCCTATGTAGCCAAGGATGACCTTCAACCCCTGATCCTCTACCTCTACCTCCCAAGGGCTGGGATTACAGGCATGTGCTACCATGCCAGGTTTCTGTGGTGCTAGGTAGAGTCCAGGGTACCACGCATGCCAGGCAGGTACTCTACCGGCATTCCTAGTCATATCTTTTTCTGTCTCCACTCATCTAATATTTAATTATAAAGAAGAGACATGTACCTTTTGGGTCCCAGCTGTTTTGTTGCAGTCCAGAAAAAAGATTTAAATTTCTGGAGCTGGCCCATGAAGCACATCAGGAAGATTCTAAATCTACTCAGAGAATGTGTGGGGTGTGGGAAAGGGCCACCCCCAGCTATTTCTTCCTTAGAAGTCCCATCCCCTGCTGTTTTTGTTGTCTTAGCAGTTTTGGTCAAACCTAGACTAGCCTGGTTCTAGGACTGTAGATGGGAGCTACCATGCGGATGCCATACTGCCTGTCACAGTCAAGTGCCAAAGATAACTGATGTGCACAAGGCCAAGTGTGAGCCAGGGCTGGAGACGGCAGCAGGTAACAGAGCTTTTTCCTTCCCAGCTTTGCGTCCTTGTAAGGAAATGTACTGTCTGGCTTCTAAACAGGATGGGTATTTAATCAGTACTAAGCACTAGCACTCCACCAGACAGTACTTGCTATCAGTCTGTCAAGTCCAAAGTTGGCTGTCAGTCTTCAGCTCTACCTCTTGTGGTCCTCTGCCCTCCAAGCATGGCCTTATGCACTCCCCTACAAGGACACAAAGCTGGGAAGAAAAGAGCAGCTGTCAGCTCCCCTTGTCTCCAGCCCCAGCCCCACTAACTGATCTTGGGTTTAGGAACAAGACGTTGACACAAGAAGGAAAAAGACAAGGACAGCCAACAGGACAGAGTGCAAGCTACAGTGTGGGGACACCCAGGAGCTAGCCCTGAAAGCCACCAACAGGAGACCACGGCAGACGCAACCAGAAGCTGAACACAGACAACCAGAGGAACCATTCCTTTAGGAGAGAAGCCCTGAGCATCTGGGTAAAGCAGAACGCCTGGGCAGGGCATCTGAAGGACTCCTTAAGCAGCTCTCCCTGGTTTCACATTCCGTTTGAGGATGGTAAGACTACGGCTGTTTTCCAGAAAACCATATATACCACTGTTTTGCATATGTCAGAAGGCTTAGAGGACAGAATCCATTCCAGGCTTCTGGGAGTATGTGCGAGAGTCCCTGTACAACGTTCCCAGCACCCGGCAGGCAGTTCGCACCAGCTGAACTCCAGCTCCAGGGAGCAGATCCCCTCTCTGGGACTCTGAGGATACCTATACTTTAGGTGCACAAGCTCATACATATACACATAATTTTAAAAATTGGGGCTAGGGTGGACTCATTGTTAAGAGGATTTGTTGCTCTTGCAGAGGACCAAGGTTTGCTTCCAGCACTCATATGCAGCTAACAAAAATCTTCTGGCCTCTGTGGGTACCAGGCACACACATGGTACATAAGCAAAATACTCATACATATAATCTTAAAACGCAAACTAGGTATTGTGGTTCATGCCTGTGAGTCAAGAGGATTGCTCCAAGTGTGAGGCCAGCCTAGCTGACTGTGTCCTAGGTCGGTCGGTTACTACAGTGTGAGATCCCGTCTTATCCGAAAAATCAAAACAGAAAGAAAATAAAAATCTTTAAAATTATAGTCAGCATATAAGATTTCAGATTTTCCTCCTGGAGGAAGTGAAGGTTAATGGAGTAAACACATGAAAAGGGGTTAAAAAGAGCAGCTGAGGAAGCCTAAGCAGGAATTTGAGCACAGGGGAGTACCTACCAGCACCCACTCCCCTGAGACCTCCTGCAGGTAAGACACCAGCTGTGAGGGGCACAGGGGCTGGTAGTCCCGCACTGGACCTCCCTGCCAGGGCTGGAGAACCGCTTAGGACAGGGTGTGTCCACTGCTGTCTTCTCACAGCCCACTGTGGTACATGGCGGACAGAGTTTCTTCCTAACACCAATAAAATGAATTACTTTTATTTCCCATTCTCTCCCTTTATTATCATAATTAACACTTCCTTGGAAAGTCAGCAGTGAAAGCTGTTCTGACAGCACCATTCCCTTACTGTTTTCAGGCACACAGGATGTGGACTTCTATAATCTCAAGCTAAAATGGGCTCTGAAAGACAGACCCCAGTTCACAGAGGCTGACCCCTTCAGCCAATATTGAGAGTAGGATCAATATAGCATCATTAAGACAATCATAAGGTGGTTTTATTCTTCTTGCTACTTAAAAAAAGAGTGAAGTGATGGTAGCTGCGGTCAGCTTCAGACGGGGAAGACCAAGTCCACACTCTGCCCCGAGTCAACCACAACCACATGAGTCTTCTTGGTTAAGGGGCTTGAGCCCACGGTGACAGAATAGGTCCCTGGATACACCTCTATGTAGAGGTCCTTAGAGATGTCCTCGGCCTGAAAGGAAAAGAGGCAACGCGGTTTAAAGACTGACCTCAGAGCCGCGTCAGCACCTCCACCAGGCTGTCACTGTGGACCAGAAGTGGGGAGAAATGCAGATATGGGGCCCCACTTTCAAGGTTTAGCTTGGTCGCATGATGGCACTGTTGTTTGGGTGACTCTCAGCTTTAATGCTTGTTGCCTTCTTTCTAAATCTGTGAGAATATCTACTGCACAAGTAACATGTGAAAACTTTTGTGAGTGAAAAAGTGTTCTAGAAACATGACGAATTCTAAAAAGAGCATCTGCTCACAAACTCTGTGAGTTTGGGGCCAGCCTGATCTACATAAGAGAGTTCCAGGACAGTCAGGGCTACATAGAGAGACCCGATCTCAAAGAAAAAAAAAGTGCATGTGGGCTGTTACTTAGCTGGGAACTCCGCTTCGACCCCCTCCAGATCCCTACCCTTAGAAAACCCACCACGTGGTGGCTCCTCCCCTGGAGCGACTCAAGACTGAGCCTACAGGGTGTTTAAACTGCCTCGTGGAGAACAGCCACATGGTTTTTTTTCTGGCCTCCTCTCCCAGTCTCATCTCTAGGAGGTCGAGAAGATCACCCGGGAATGTTTTTGCTCAATAAACTTGGTCTTTTACTTTTAATTTGGTTTGATTTGAACTACTGCGTCACCAGAGAGACTTCAGTTGCTACTTCATATCTGCTCAATGCTTGGAAGGAACAACAGGCAGAGCTGTCATTTCTTACACCACACGTGGGAGACTAATTAATGAAACTACTGGCCAGAAAAACTACAGCAGGAATAAGTGATATCTGTACTTCCATGAAGTTTCGTACCCCCTCGCCTTGCTGGCAGACTTGAGGTCAACGTTTTCAAAAGCTGCTTTATGTTACCTTTCTCCCACTTCCGAAAACCTAAAGGTTCAACGCCTTTTGCTGGTGTGAGGACGGTGGCAATGGCACCGCTATTTACCAGGCGTCCACTGTGTACAGGGCCGCAGAATCATCTCCATACTCGGCAGCGCTGAGGTTAGTGTGCCCTTGTGTGGGGCTGGCGAGACGGCTCGGCAGTTACAGGCACTTGTTTCCTGCTCTTGTTTCTTGTATCTTGAGGATGCAGGTTTGGATCCCAGAACCCAGGTGATGGTGATGGCTCACAATACCCTGTAATCTAGTTCTAGGGTACCTGACTCTTTCTTCTAGACTCTGAAGGTACCAAGCATGCATGTGGTATACATACATACGTGTAAGTATACATGTATACAAATAAAATAAATCTGAAAAAAAAAATCCATCTTCACACTGGAACTCCAGGCCAATCAGAATTACGAAAAGCAGCACTAATGAAGACACCCACGGCTGACAGCTTGCATTTGTACTAGAAGCAAAATTTTCAGTTGCTAATTACTCTAGAATATCCAAATCCTGGTTAGTAACAAACTACATACAAACAAAAAGGGATTTAGTGCAGTGAAATGTCTAAGTTCCTTCTTCAGAATTCCAGCTCTCCCAAGTCCCAAACAAACTCCTCAGGCTCACAGATTACCTACTCCTTGGTCCTGAAACTCCTTGGAGTAGAAACTCATATCTACTTCTTTTTTGTCCCACAGAAACATTTCAAATGTTTTGGAACCCAGTATCAGCACATGTAGACATGCTGGAATTTCAGCAATGGCTACATTTTATAAGCAGAGGTCAGGCCCTCCCACTGCTTCAGCAGATGGTGAGATTCTCTCAGGAGCCCATGCCAGCCCAGCTGGCCTAGGAAGTGAGCTGTGAATACTTCACATTCTTTCCAACCACAGCTATGCACTGAGGCCACAGAGCAGCCCCTAAGCCTCTAGTGACGGAAAAGGACACTAAGAAAACAGAATTTTGCAATGAACCAAAATCTTGTGGACCCTCAACTGTAAACCTCTCAATCTGAAGACACCCTAGAGCCCATACAAATGGAGCCCAATTGGTAACAGATCAGTTGGCTTACAGAAGGGCAGGGAAGCCCAGCACAGAGCTCGGTACTCACAGGCCAGGACGCCTCTCGAGAATGCTCTGATGTTTGGTAGCTGCTTCCTGGACCAATAGATGTCTCTACTCTGCCATTTCTCTGCTAAGATAAATATTGATTAGGACCTGAGCTTTGACCTTCAGAAAGCAAAGACATTTTCTCTTCTCTTACGAGGATTATTTCCTATGCCTTTTCTCATCTGTCACCTGTTATTAACCATCCCTTTGCTACAGCTAGAGCTATTTTTAGCTATGTGTTTTCCATTGTTGCTTTTTTTTTCCTTATGTGAGCTTTGGAGTCTGGCAAATGAGTTTAAATCCCATGTCCTGTTACTCACTAGCGGGATTCACTTAACTCAGAGCCTTGGTCTCCTGGACTGTAACATGGGCTCCTTGACGGAAGGAAAGATTGAGATGCTGAAGTCATGATACCTACAGACTTTCACGGTGTTATCAGGGAACAAGGAAAGCCTTAGAGGCACCCCTTTTGTACACCACAGGAAAGAGGCTGTCGCTCTGCCACATACACACCTCACTTAAGCTCTCTAAGGAGAGAGCAGGCCTGGGTGGAAAGGGGATTTCAGGACACAGACTCCGGTGACTCTCCACATCCCAGAGAAGAACTCAAAGGGTTCTTGCAGCCAGCACTGAGTCCACTCATAACCCACGCTCACGCCTGTCATTTTTGCTAAACCTCTTCACTCTACGACCCTAAGATGACTTTCAGGTCAGAGAAATCAGGGATTTTAATCTGAACTTAAGTCAGCCATCTTTGAGTATAATTAAAGGAGTTTAAGAAAACTCAAAACCAAAAAGTCTATTTCTGTTGAACAAACAGAACCTCTGGCTTTCACACAACACATATTCAAGAGACAGAGTGTGAGCGGGCTGTGGTGGTGCACACCTCTGATCCCAGCACTCAGGAGGCAGAGGCAGGAGGATCTCTTTGAGTTCAAGGTCAGCCTGGTCTACAGAGTGAGTTCCAAGACAGTCAGGGCTATACAGAGAAACCCTGTCTCGAAAAACCAAACCAAACCAAATCAACCAACCAACCAAACAAACAAGACAGAGTGTGTGATGAGGGACTGCTAGCTCTTATTCTTATAAAAAAAAAAAAAAACCAAGGTAGTCTCAGCCACCCTAGAAGCTGAGGAGGAAGGATGACCTAAGACCAGTTCAAGATCAGAGTCGGCAACACGGCAAGACCCTGTCTGAAAAATGAAAAATATTTAATGAGACAACCCCTGTGACACACACATATCTTTTTCAAAAATTATCAAAGACATGGCAGTATCACTATCTCAGTAAGATATAACTATTAAAAAAAATCTCTTTCCCTGGGGGCTGGAAAGATAGTTCAGTGGCTAAGGGCAGAGGACCCATGTCTGGTTCCCAGTGTTCACACTGGGTGGATCACAACCACTTGTTGACTCCCACTCCAGTGGACCCAACACCCTCCTCCAGACTTCTTGGGCACCTGCATTTATGTGCACATACCCATACACAGATACACATAGTTAAAAATAAAGTCTTTTTTGTTGCTGAGACAGTTAACATAGCCTGGCTGTCCTGAAATTCTCTGTGTAGATCAGGATGACTCCAAACTCAAGAAAGTCACCTGCCTCTGCCTCCCAAGTGGTGGGATTAAAGGCCTGGGCCTGACCTAAGACAACAACCCTCTTTGGTATTCCTAGATATATACGGGAATATATATTCTTAAGCCTGCCCCAGAACTCCACGGCCCAGGATTACAGGTTCAGTTGAAGATCTTAGAGTGAAATAATTAATCTTGCTTCAGACAAATTTCTGTTTCTCTAAGTTCCTGGATGTTATGAAGTCACACGTGTCTGCTGAGTACTGGAATGCTGAGTCACAGAGGCATCTGATGACACAAAAACCCCACAGGGACTTCCAAATCACAGCCCCAACCTTGCGAGGCTACAGGCACGGCGTGGAACGCCGAAGACACGTACCTGCTCCTGACCGTGCCCTAGGTCTGAGTGCACGTGCACTTCTGGAGCCTGCCTTCTGTGGTAACGGGAGACGTGGGTGGCCCCTCCTTCCTCTGGCACAGATGAGTAGTATTTCTGGAGAATAATGTGAGAGAACATTTAAATGCTCTGGCCAAGTCTTCAGAAAGACTCTCTGATACCTGTGCACAGTAAGGTTAAGGGCAGAAACATGAGATAAAAGGTCAATCACCTGTCCTTAGCCTGAGATGCTAACGCAAGGATATTGCATTTGGCATGGTTTTGCTGCCACCTGCTGCCTCTGGAGGGCAAGAATTCTGACCAACTAAATAAAGGATCATATTCTCTGCTAGGGTAAAGGCTTTCAACTCTTCACTTTAATGTCAAGTACATCCACCCTTTCATTTCCTCCCCGACAGAGTCGGATCAACAATTCTGTGTTTGCTTCCAGGTACTCAGGTGAGGTAGAAGAAAGAACATAGTAATTTCTTCATTGAAGAAACACAGAAGGCTAGAAACCAAACCTAAGAGCTGTGCTTTTCCCCAGGGTTCTCCACAGGGGAAGGCAAGGAGAGAGATCTCGAGTGTAGGAATAATCCAAAAGATCAGAAAAATTACATTTTTCTTGTTTGGTTCCTTCCTCCTCTTCCAAGATGACTTTGTATTTGCCCTTGACTATGAGTGTGAAGACAACACAAGCTTGTTTGGCACACACTGTGGGACAGTGTCAAAGGAATGTGATAGGAGGGAGGAGAAGCCTGAGAGTCAGGACATGGACCTATGGCATTTTAAAGGCCACTTTCAAACTCTGGAGTCAAATCCTGGACACTTTTCTAAATCTTCGAAAGGCAGGCTAAGAAGTTCTGAAGCACCACTCTGTAATAGGATTGAAGAGGAACATAGCTGAAACCCTACATGAAGAACACTGGTTTGCTAAAGCCTCAAAGACAACTCCTCAAAGACAACTCTTATTTGACTGAACCATGAACCAATGTCTAAGGTAACCATTTTAGAGTAGAGCTGAAGTTACAGATTGTTCTACAGCCACCTTTGGACAATTAAGAACATTAAAAATGTTCTCTGAACCATACCTCTTTGCTTGAAAGCCTACTGTAATCTAAAGAATGTTTGTAAAATGCAGGAGTTGGGTATGGTAGTGGCATCTATAACCCTTATACTCAGAAAGTGGGAAGCAAGGAGATCAAGACTAGGTAAGTAGCAGGTCTGAGGACAACCTTGGCTACTTGAGCTCTTACCTCTAACAAAACAGAAAGATTGGCAACTTGGGGATTTTACACCTGGAGCCTGAAAGCATAGCAAAACTAATTCTCTTCTATTTTGCTTACACGACAATATCCTAAAATCCCAGTCATGCACAGGTAAAGCTGGGTGTGATTCTGAGAAAACAGAACCTGTGTTTTCCTTCAGCACCTGCCTTTAACATCCATCCCCTCAATCTCAGTGTACGGGTTTCAGAACTTAAAACCTGTTCACTCATTTCAAGGAATACGCCTTGCACGGTGTTGTGATAATTTGCTATTCATCTCTCAGTGGAAATCAAAGAAGTCAGTAATAAAGCTGGGGCTTCAGAAATCTGAACTTTACCATGGGAAGCTAAACACCACAAAGAGGGCAGCTTCATGTCCAGAGTGTACTCCCTGCTTCTCACTGCTCGGATCACATGCCTTAGGTGAGTCTTAAGAGCGACCAGTTGGCTAGCTGAAAGCTACAGAACATGGTTTGATCTTTGGGAAGCAGACCTTGCCATTAGAAACCACACACCTGCATCTGTTTCACATGGCCATCTCTGTCACCAACACCTGTTTAGGAACCCACTGGGACATTCACCATGAACTGGAAACAAACATTGAAGGCTGAGACCTAACAAACAGGCTTTCCAATTCAGTTTTTGATTCAACGCATTTTGAAAACCAAACAACTCATGAGTGATCCTGAAGATTTTAACTTAGTTGCAAAGGGAAGAGGAAGCAGCCTCAAATTAGACTTCATTGTGGAGTCAGGAGCTAAGTCAGCACCATACTCCTCACACAACTGAAAACTCAACGAGAGCAAAGGCCTTTTCTGGTTGGTTTACTGCTGTGTCTTCAACAAGTAGAATTAGAATGGAATGGGTAAATGTCTGTTGGCTGAATTCTAACTTGTACTTACCACCTGGCTTAATTAACTGATTCTAATCTGCTCACGAAGGCCCATAGGTCCCAAGATAGAGGAGTACTGATTTTTCCCAAGCACAAATCAGGAGCACAGTGGGAGTTCACATCAACTTACCCCACACTGACTGGAAGTATAGTCCATGAATTCAGCCATTGTTCTGAAGGAAGCACTAAGGGTTGGGCGCCTCTCTTCTCTCTATTTGAATAAATGGCAAGTGACAGGTGAAACCTACGATTGCCTACTGGAAAAGGACAGCTTTTGAGAAATAGCTTTTTGTCTTTTCTTTTTCTTTTTTACTTTTAGGAAAGCTTCTGCAAGCCGAGATTTGGAAAAAGGATCTGCTGAGAAAGAATTTTAACTCAGTAAACTAGATATGCAATTTATCCAGGATCTAAAATAATAGGTTAGCTGGTTTTACTTGCTAAAGTTGTTATTGTTTAGGGTTTTTGAGACAGGGTCACATGAACACTAGATCCTCCTGCCCCCATCTCCTAAGTTCTGGCACCACATAGGAATTCTATTTACTTAATTTAGACAGGGTCTCACTATGTAACCTTAGCTGGCCTGAAACTTGCTATGAAACTCAGAGATCTGTCTACTTCTGAGGCCTAGATGCTATGATTAAGGGCGTGCACCACCACACTCCGCAAAAAATTATATCTTAAAAGTAGTCAAACAGAATATGACTATTCTTTAGTTACTTATAAAGAATGGGTCACACTGTGCTGGTGCACAATCCCTTTAAAACTAGTACTTGAGGCGTGGGCAGGAGTTCAAGGCTAGCCTGGGCTACTTGAGACCCGTGTAAAACTATAAAAAGTGTCAAAAGCATTTCCCAAAGGATTTTTCCACTCTGTCCAGATACTTTGCATCTTTTGGCCACGGGAGGTTCCCTCCGGCCCAGTGGGAGGTCAAGAACGCCTGGGAAGTCCCCCCCCCCAGCTCGCGCCCTCACCTCTCCTAGGAGGCGCTGGGGACCGGGGACCGACCATCGTTCCTGGGAGGGGCCCTGGCGGTAAAGGACCCCCACGTTGCCTCTGGATCGCTCAGGAGAATGCCAGTCCACTGCCCTTCTCTTGGCGCGCTCCAGCACTTCCCTCCCTAGTCGAGCCGAGCGCTGCAATGAGCGTCGGTCCACCCCGTTCAGCGCCGCGGCCGCCAGACAGTACTCCATGTCTCCCTGGGCACACACACAGACAACGGCCCGTCAGCTGCACCCAGGCCCGGATCCGGGAGGACGTTCCCCTGCAACCCCAGCTCTCCCTCCGCCCGCATCGCGCGCACTCCAAGCTGGGGACTGGAAGAGAAGACCCGAGCCCCGTATACTTCCGCCTCCCGGGCCCTGAATGCGGCCCCTTGCCAGACCTGCTTCTTCCACGCGCCTGCGCGCAGCGCTTCCCCGGACACGCCCGCGTTCCCGCGGTCGCGCTTTCGCGCCAGTTGCCAGGCTAACTGCAGGGCGAGGTGGGCGGGGCCTGGCGGTGGGCGGGGCCGGGATCGAGGGGCACGTGGTCCCGGCTCGATCTGGCTACTGACGCGACGCGGTGATTGTTCGAGGTCTTGTCCGCTGGGTCGGGTCAGCGTGAACCCCGGGGCTTGTTGCACTGAAACATTTTTTTGAGATTAGGTGTCTGCAGCGGCTCTTTCGTTCCACGTTCAGGGGAATCGCTACTCGCAAACCACTTTTGTGTGAGGAGGTGATGAGGCTAGCTGAGCAACTCGCCTGAGGAGGTAGGGCTGGGGAACGGGCGTTCGTTCTGTCAGAAGAGCGCTCAAGGCTGGGGATGGAGGCCAAACAGGCCTGGGGGCTGTGGGTACGGGGACCGGCAGACTTGGTGTGTGTGTGGGGGGGAATGTCAGAGGAGTGTGTGGGCGTCTCGACATTCCCTCCCTGCAGCTTCTTCCTCTCTACCTTGGAAGGATGGATTCACACAATTTTGTTTGTGAATTTAGTGGTTTGTTTTATTTTGTTGAGACAGGGAATCACTATCTAGCCTTGTCTGGACTGGGCTGGAGACTCACTATGTAGACCAGGCTGGCCCTCCTCAGTCTCTTCCCCGTTGGATCTGGACCCACCTTACAAGCATTAACCACATCACTTAAAGTAAGAAATGGGTCATTTACCTTTCACAACACCGCTGGGTCTCAACGCTGGTGGTGCAGCAGGACCCCCTGGTGCGCAGCAGGGCGTGAATGGGGCAAAAGGCCCACTTGAAGGAACACTTCTCAGTGGGGGTGGTTCCCTTACAGGACACAGGAATTCTCAGTCTGTAGGTTGTGTCAATGGATGGGCTTGATTAGCCATGAATTCACTTGTTTTTAAGTATATAATTCAGTGACTTTTAATAAAATTTCAGAGTTGTACCAATATCATCACAGTCCTGCTTTGGTATATTTTATTTAACTAAGAATGCAGTGTGGGGCCGGAGAGGTGGTTTGGGAGGGAGGCTCAGGGGAAGCATTTGCCCTACAAGCCTAACTACCTGAGTTGCTCCCTGGAATCTATGTAAAAAGCCAGCCACTGTAGTATGCAAGCATTAGCCCGGCTCTCCTGTGGTGACACGGGTAGTGGAGGGAGGAAACTTGGCCAGACCTCCTGGACTAGCTAGCGTGAAGTGTGTGCTTCAGAGAAGCCGCAGCAAGACCCTGCCTGCCTCAAACAAGGTGAAAAGGTGAGAACCCTCTCCTAAAGTTGCTCTCTCACATCCACACGAATTCTTTGCACACATGTGCCATATCCACCCCCACGTAAAAAAATAGAGAAAAAAAGTAGCCTAGTATCCACCATTTATAATGAATTCTCACTCCTACCAGGACCTAGGTAGCCACTATTCTGGTTGCCATCTCCCTAACTGCCCTTTTCTGGCACTTCATATAAACAGAATCCAATGGCATGTGACCCCTTTGGACTGGTCTCTTTCACTTAGATTGCTTTGAGGTACATCTGAGTTATAGTATGTTTTAGTATCTCATTCTTCTTAATGGATAAATAATATTCCCTAAATGGATATATTGTATTTTTCCACTGGTTTTTTTTGTTTATTTATTTATTAAAAATTTCCACCTCCTCCCCTCTTCCCTTTTCCCTCCCCCTCCTCCCTTCCCCACCCTCTCTAGTCCTAAGAGCAGTCAGGGTTCCCTGCCCCGTGGGAAGTCCAAGGTCCTTCCCCCTCCATCCAGGTATATAAAGGTGAGCATCCAAACAAACCAGGCTCCCACAAAGTCAGTCCATGCAGTAGAATCAAAACCCAGTGCATTTGTCCTTGGCTTCTCAGTCAGCCCCCATTGACAGCCACATTCAGAGAGTTCGGTTTGATCACATGCTCCATCACTCCCAGTCCAGCTGGCCTTGGTGAGCTCCCATTAGATCAGTCCCACCGTCTCAGTGGGTGGGCGCACCCCTCGTGGTCCTGACTTCCTTGCTCATGTTCTCCCTCCTTCTGCTCCTCATTTGAACCTTGGGAGCTCAGTCCAGTGCTCCAATGTGGGTCTCTATCTCTGTCTCCATCCATCGCCAGATGAAGATTCAGTCTGAAAGGTTGTCCTCCTTGTATTTTGTTTATTCATCGTTTGGAATTGTTTCCAGTTTGAGGGCTATTCTGATGAAGCATATAAAACTCTATAGACATTTTCATTTCTCTTGAGCAGATACTGTGAAGTGAAAAATTTGAGGATATTTTAAATTTGTTTTCATTATGAGAAACTGTTAAAATATTATTCAAAGTGGCTGTACTGTTTTATGTTTATATCCCCATATCTGATAGTTTTTCCTCATCCACTCTAGCATTTGTTGTTTTTTAAACTTTGTTTGTTTGTTTGTTTGTTTGAGACAGGGGTTCTTTGTGTGACAGCCAGGAACTCTGTAGACCAGGCTGGCCTCGAACTCAGAGATCTGCCTGCCTGTGCCTCCTGAGTGCTGGGATTAAAGGCATGCGCCACTTTAGCCCGCCATTTGTTGTTTTCTTTCTTTCTTTTTTTTTTTTTAAATTAAAGTCATTTTACTATTCCTGTGAGTGTGAAGTAGCAGCTCCTTGAGGCTTCAGTTAATATTTCATAATGACTGGTGCTGCTGTAGATTTTTTTCTTGTTATTTCTAGCTGTTCCTGTTTCTTCTTTGCTAAAAACCCTGTTTGTGTCCTTTATTTGTTTTTAATATGGTTTGTGTGTCTTTTTAAAAAATATATATTATTGAGTAATAAGAGTTCAAATTCTGAATAAAGGATCCTTTATTGGATTATGATTTATAATATATTCTATTTTTCACTTTTTTTTTTTCGAGACAGGGTTTCTCTGTAGTTTTTGGTGCCTGTCCTGGAACTAGCTCTTGTAGACCAGGCTGGCCTCGAACTCACAGGGATTCGCCTGCCTCTGCCTCCCGAGTGTATTTTTCACTTTTTAAAATCTTTTCAGTGCTGAGGATTAAAGTACCCAGGGCCATTTTCATACCAGTCAAGTGCCTTACTAGCACTTCATTTTCTTTGTGCGTGGGTGGGGTGGTGTTGTAACGTGTGTCCTATGAGCAAAACAGCCACCATCTTCATCACATCAACTGTGCTTGTGTGCAAATGTCTGTGTATCATGGCTGTGGACTTTCCCTCATAGAAGGAAGGGGTGAAGAGGGTCATTGGACCTTTTACATGGGTCTCCAACTGTGCCTCCCAGCAATTTGTATGCAGTGTGCCCTAATTGCTTAGGGACCCAGGTCTCAGGGAGAGGCTTTAGAATATAGGCTGGTGGGGGAAAAAAGGGAAGGGCCTCTATCTCTGTGGTTTTGAGGAAGCCAGCATCCAGACTGTGTGACAGTTTGTGAATTACTCATGGTGCTGCCCATAACCCCTCACATCTCACTCTAAGGAAGCCTAACAAATTCATTGGTTTTTCAGAGTATACTTTGGTGGAATCATATTTGATTTGTTGTTGGGACCTTATAAAAAGATCCTTTCCATGGGAGGAATTATCACAACTCTCTCTCTCTCTCTCTCTCTCACTCTCTCTCTCTCTCTCTCTCTCTTCTCTCTCTCTCTCTCTCTCTCTCTCTCTCTCTCTCTCTCTCTCTGTGTGTGTGTGTGTGTGTGTGTGTGTGTGTGTTGTGTATGTGGAGGTTACGGGTTGATACTAGATGTCCACTTCAGTTGAGTTTTATCTTAATTTTTGAGACAGGGTCTCTCAGTGAACCTGGCACTTACCAATTTGACTAGAATAACTGACTAGCAAGCTCCAGAAACCTTCTTCCCTCTGCTTCGCCAGCAATAGATAATGAATGCACACTGCCCTGTCCAGCTTTTACGTGAATTCTGGGCATCTGGGTGATCCCGACTCAGGTTTCTATGTTTGCATGGCAAGCATTTTACCTATTAAATATCTCCTCATCTACCTCTAATTTTTTTCTTTTAAAAAAAGATTTATTTTGGGCTGGAAGGATAGCTCAACGGTAAGAGCATTGCCTGTTCTTCCAAAGGTCCTGAGTTCAATTCTCAGCAACCACATGGTGGCTCACAGCCATCTGTAATGAGATCTGGTGCCCTCTTCTGGCCTACAGGCATACATGCACACAGAACACTGTCTACATAATAAATATTTTAAAAAGATTTATTTTATTTTATATGCATTTGAGATTTGCCTGCATGGATGCATGTGCACAATGTGTGTAGGTGACCACAGAGGCTGGAAGAGGACATGATAACCCCTGGAAGTGAAGGAACAGATGGTTGTGAGCCACCATGTGGATGATGGGAACCGAACCTTCTGCAGGATAGCCAGTGCTCTCAACTACTGAGCCATCTCTCCAGCCCCACTTTCATTTTCCTTAAAAATTTCTTCTGAGATTTATTTTATGTGTATGGGTCTTTTGTCTGCATGTGTATCAGAGGTGTGCAGTGCACATGAAGCCGGTAGAAGACATTATGATGTTTCACCTGCTTGTGTGTATGTACACCATATGCTTGTAGTGACCATGGAAGACAGAAGAGGGCATCAGATCCCCTGGGACTGGAGTTATTGACAGTTGTGAACCTCCATGTGGGTTCTGGGAATAGAACCTAGGTCCTCCGGAAGAACAGCAAGTGCTCTTAACCACGGAACCATCTCTCCATACTCTCCTCTTTCATTTTATTAATGGTGTCTTTTGGAGCACCAAGTTTTAAATTAAGATGAAGTCCAGTAGTTTCTTCTATGGGTTGTGCTTTTGGTGTCATATGTAATTTGTACATAATTCAGTATTTTTCTTCTGTCTTCTAAAAATTTGATATTTTATTTAGTTTATATGCTATATGAAGTTTAAACTCATCTCTTTAGATACCATTTGTCTAAAAGACTATCCTTTTTAATTAGATAACATTTGGTA